ATTTGATGATTGCTGAATTCTTCTTGAAATTTAAACTGTCATTTGGAGAATTTTTCTGTTATCATTTTTATTTATGATACACACTATTTTCAGAACATAAAGACTACCAGCAAGTTACATGTTTCCATGATCTTTTGTGATGATGATAAGCAAATTGTTAAAGTTTCAGAATGCCTCTAGTTAAGGCCCTAGCTCGTGTTTGAGAAGTTCTATGTTCAGGTCCTTTGGAAAGACACGGTGGGCCCTCTGCCCTTTGATGACGGTGTAACAGATGGGGACAGCTGATAATGTGGCCCCTTTACTGCTTTATCTCTGAGGGCATGAACCTTCTGGATGACCTGCTGTGCACCATGGTGGTTCTGCAGCTGGCTCAGGAGGAGCTCCACTGCTCATGCAGACAGCTGAGAGCAGCAGTCACAGGAACTCTGTTAAGCTCAGGCACTCTCTTTGAAACACATGGCCTTCACTTCTGTGCCTCTCTTTACCACGTATAGCACCTGACTGACTTTTCCCATTTCCTGACTCTTTTTTGACTAGTTTAGGGAAGTGCCTGTTCTTTCTTAATGCAAGTGCCTGTTCTTTCTTAGTGCTGATCATAGACTAGAACTAAGCACCTCGGCTTTATTGAAAGATGATGGGGTATAGGAGCAATATAGTGATTAACTGTGGGTGGAGTCACAGTACAGGTCAAGGGAAGGCTGTTATCAGCTTCATCTCCTTGCCCTTCTGATGACTAAAAGGCAAATTGCCAGGTATTGCTGATGACTGATGAACTTCACTGATTTCATCCTTTTTCAGCTGAGTTATGTTTTGGGTCTAGTGAGTTCATACACAAATATTTAACCAAGTTTCTTGATCTACCTAGTCAAATATAACTTCTGTGATATGAAAACTACTGATGTGGTTTGCATCTTATCTCTAGAACTATGTGTAACATTTCACAAATATGTGTGTTACACAAATTTTGAATGCTGTAGTTATCACTCAACCTTAATATATGCTGATCATGGCAGACCTTTTGTCACATTGCTGCCAGAAATGATGCAGAAGTTGATATATTTATTTTCTACATGGCACTAAGGAAAGTCCTACTAAAAGTACTAAACTACTACTAAAAGTAGTAACAGTTTAGTACCTGAGATGCTGGTATTCACAGCAGAACACACAATATGATTTCCATAGGTTACTCTGCTGTCCTGGTTTTGGACGGGCAGAGTTAATCTTCTTCATAATAGCTGGTATGGGGCTATGTTTTGGATTTGTGCTGGAAACAGTGTTGATAATTCAGACATGTTTTAATGATTGTTGAGCAGTGCTTGCAGAGCCTCAAGACCCTTTTGACTTCTCTTACCACCTTACCAAAGAAGCTGAGGCTGCACAAGAACACAAGGAGATGCAGCTGGTATGGCTGATACCAACTGATCAAAGTGACATTTCATACCATATAGCAACATGCTGAGCATATAAACTAGGGGAAACTAGGCTGGGGGCCACTGCTCAGTGGTGTCTGGGCATCAGTCGGTTACTAGTGAGTTTTTGGTTTCCATCACTCATCTTTCTTGAATTTCATGTGGGTTTTTTTTGTTTTGTTTTGGTTTGGTTTTTTTTTTTTTTTTGTTTGTTTGGTTTGGTTTGGTTTTTTGTTGGTTTTTTGTGGTTTTTTTTTTGGTTTTGTTTTGGTTTTTTGTTTGTTTGTTTGGGGTTTTTTGGTTTTTTTTAAATTTCCTTTTCATCATAATCAATATCATCATCATTGTTGGTGTTGCTACTGTTGGATGGCATAAAGTTGTGTCAGGGGAGGTTTAGGTTGGATATTAAAAAAAACTTCCTTCACCCAGAGGGTGGTTGGGCACTGGAACAGGCGCCCCAGGGCAGTGGTCACAGCACCAAGCCTGACAGAGTTCAAGAAGTGTTTGAAGGTACTCTCAGGCACATGGTGTGATTCTTGGGGATGGTCCTGTGCAGGGCCAGGAGTTGGACTCAATGATCCTTGTGGATCCCTTCCAACTTGGCATAGTCTGTGATTCTGTGAAGACCAGAGGCCCCAGCATTTGCTTTCCTACTGCACTGGGAAGAAAGCAGAGTCTTTTCAGGTGCTTCTTGTGAATATGAACTGTATCAGTCTGGGTCTTTCATACCCAGATAATCCTTTCACTCTCAAATAGCCTTTCACTCTTAAATAATTCCTGTCCTTCTGTCATCAGGGGGGACCTAAGGCCTTTGGCAGTTAAATCCCTTTCCAGTTAAACTCATGGAACCCTCCAAGCAGCATTTTGAAACCCTTCAGGGATTACATGAGCAATTAGATAAATAATAAAAAAGCCATGTCTGTGTTATAAGTTAGTTTAAGAATTTTGACAACTTAGTTCCAATTAAAAATTGATAAATTTATTAAGCAAGCGATAATAAAGCAAACAGCGCTGGGTGGCCTGGGGGGCCGGTGCCCCGCCAGAGACACACAAAACTTGTTTGAAAACTGGGCTTTTGTACTCTTTCGATATCAGTTGTTGAATATTC